ACTCACTTACCACGGCAACAGACAAAGTCCCTCCTCCCATCATCCCTAGATTGCCTGTTGTGTGGACCACACTATTTGCCCTGACAGCTGACGAGGCTGTTTCAGTCTCTTGCTCAGACATTACCAGTTAATCTGCCTAAGCCAGCAGTGTAATCTGGCAGGAAAGGTCCGTACTATATCTAAAGCCTGTTGCTTCAGCAGTTGTGGTTCTGCCCAAAAAACAGCATCTAATTGCAGCCTAAGCTTGCCAGTTACAAGTAATGACATGTCATGGGACGGGGACATAAATCCAGTCCACCATTTCAATTTAAAATTTCACCCCCTTCCTTTGCTTTCCTTCATTCAAGGAATCAGCTGTGGAGAGAATTCATCTTTATGGAGCCAAGTAATGAACCTTCTGTTTTATTCACCTGAAAAAAGGACCATCCTCATCTGAAGTTTCCAAATGATTTTTTTGATTTTGCAAGAGCAAATTCTCTGTAGGCTCTCCCAGATGATAGAACTTTGTAACTGACAAAAAGTTTAAATTTCTCCCATTAGACCACACCCTCATTAGCCACTGTTTGAACGGTTAATTAGTTTGCTGTTTTAATTTTTCCCATCACCACCTCAGTTCCTTGGTAGTGAAAGCATACCCACACTCTAACACTCTCGTTGGAGCAAGTAACTAACCATGAAGTAGTATGCCAGGGTGTATCAACAGGATAAGCCCAGAGTTGTATTACTCTTTCCTGTAACTCCTATTCATCATCACTCCTGCTTCTACTCCCCTAAAGACCTAATCATGGTGACGTTTAGCATATTCTCAGAGAAACCTGGAGAGAATGTATTCTACTTGCAGCCTATCAGTCTGCTTCCTCTCCTCCATTAGCATTTCTCTTTTCACCTAATGTTACGGCTGATTCCATTAACCATTCCACCGCCTTTAAGACATGATTTTTAAACATCAAAAGCTCATTTGCCTCAGTTTCCTCCACATAAAATAATAGCAACTCCCTTTGCAGAGTTAATGTGAGAATCAAGTGAAATGCTATTTCTAAAACGCTCAGCACAGTGCCTGGCACATAGTAAGTGGCAAATGTTTGTTCCTTTCCCATTACCCTCTGCCTCTAAGTGCCTAAAATAAATAGACAATTTAACTTCACTCTCCTCTTTGTGGCAATCTAGCCTCTACAAAACTTTAAATAAAAGCAAGGGAATATTTTCACTGTCCCTGTTAAGCTTTTCAAGTATCCATCATACCAATCTCACAGGGCAATTGGGAGCTTTCTCCTTATCCCACTAAAAGGGTTCCACATAAACTCCAAATGCTATTGCCAGAGGAAAGTAAAATGTTGTATCTGGCATCTCCATCACACAGGGCCCAACACTATTCTGCCACCTAAGAAAATGAATTTAACCTGCGAACAATACCAAATATTCTGGACCAGACCTAACCTAGGCCAGTCCAGTGATTTGGGATCAAGAAATAAAATACAATAAGGTACGTGTGGACCATAAAATGCATTCAAAACAACTTTAGTGATAAGTGATTGAAAGAATTTCTACACTGCAAAAGAATATATACAAAAAGCTACTCTCTTTCCACTTTGTATTCACCATAACAATACAGGCCCAGTCACCACAGGGCAGCAGGAGCTCCAGGAAAACCCCTGATACCAACTCCCTGCCCCACCCACCCCGGCAAGTAAGTCATTTATGCTTCTGGAGGCTAGGAAACCAAATGTCCTGCACTCTCCCCATTAGAGGACCAGCCCAGCCTAAAGGACATCATATGCGCCACCTGATATGTTATGGTGCTGGGTGGATCAATATAGAGGATGACAAAGGGAGTTTGGAGCCTGGGGGAGGGGAGCCCTGGAATGAGGAAGCAGGTCCTCCTCATTGACAACCATAGTGTCTGGCTCAAAATCCACATCCCGGGAACAGCTGCACAACAGAACAGTAGCGGAGTGAGCAGAATAACAGTGTCAGTTGTGCAAAACAGGTATCACTCTGACCTTCATTCTTCCAGGTACGCTTGTGTAACCTCTGTGGCAAAGTCATTCCCCGCCCCAGACTCTGCTTTGCAGTTTTCTGGATTTGTTTCCTGGGCATCTCTGGACATAAAATATTACTTCATAGTATTCAGCGTCTTCTGCTTACTCCGATTTCAACCTCCCAAATCCTGACTTGGGAATGTGTACCAGGCCCTGTCCCCTCGGGCACTCTTGGATGGGGTAGTCAGGCTCTGTTGGATCCTGATTTCGATTGCCTGGGTTCCTGATGCAGCACTGGCTTCTGCTTTCTCTGATGTGTCTGTACTCCTATAGCTAGAAGGTTTCAGAGATGCCTGGACTGTCCAGGTTCACAGCACTGTGATTTTTAAGGCCCTCTGAAGCATCTCAGGTCAGAGGGCTGATGATTTCCTGAATCCCTGGGACAAGCCAGTGTGAGCACTGCAAACTCCCGGCTCCACATCCATGGTCAGAGTACTATGGATTTCCTCAGTAACTTTCTGAATATGGTGATGCGATGAAGAAGCATGAAGGATTTGGAAAATACTATTAAAAGTCTTTCCCTGGGGCAGCTAGGTGGCGCAGTGAATAGAGTTCCAGCCTTGGAGTCAGGAGGACCTGAGTTCAAATCTGGCCTCAGACACTTGACACCGACTAGCTATATGACCCTGGACAGGTCACTTAACCCCAATTGCCTCACCAAAAAGCGAAAAAAAAAAAAAGTCTTTCCTTTAATTTTAGAACTCACACATAAGATATGTCTTAATTCTTCCAAGATATTTTCATCGGCCATGGATCAATGGCTAAACAAAAAACAACGGGAAACAGAATTGTTAGACCCTCCCCCCACCAAAAAACAAAAGGAGGAGGAAAATGAGAGAGTGGAGAAAGCAGAGGGGTAGGAGAAAGAGGAAATAGAGAAGGAGAATGAAAATAAGTAGAGGGAAGAGAAGATGGAGGTAGAAGATGAGGAAATATAATCCATATAATTAATTTACATAGCATTTCTATAGACTCCTAGAACCCACTGACCTCAAATGCATCATTTTTATGATACTGGTTATCATGGAAAGGACTGGTGAAGATATTGTACACTTATGAAATTTGCATAGAGAATCTCATTTCAAAGTTCTTCAAATAGTACCATAAGAAAATATTTACCTATTCAAAAAATGTTTGGCAATGAGGCAGACATTCCCAATCAGTAAAACATATTCATTAGGAATACAGAAGATTTAAAATTTTTTCTCTTTCTATATTTAAATATTCTATATCTATTCACAAATTTCTTAAAAAAAACTTTTTTTTCCCTAAAACAAAATGAACAAATAACAAAGAAAATTGTCTTATTTATGTGTCTGACATCTTGCAGACCTCTGATCCACTTCCAGAGCAGAAAGGAATACTCCTAACATACCTTTCTTTTTTATTAAAACCAGAAAAAGATTCACTGTCATAGCATGTGAATTCTGCAGACTAACCAGTCAAGGATTCAGAAGTGCCTCATTATTGTATTCATTTAGAAAAGATATTCCAAAATCTATTTATTTAAAGAAAGTACCAATATTTAGAGCTTGGAGAATTATAGGAAATAGTTCAAAAGTTTCCTCTTACCGTTATTCAACTAAACCTGGCCCTGATGGTAAAACCATCACTGATCGGAGTATTTGGAAAACAAAACTGGCAAAAACAAAAACAAAACAAAACAAATAAAAAAAAAAAAACAAAACCCAGCACACACTAGGCACTATTAGTCTAATGCAGCCACATTAAAAGCAGATGACTTATTTCTAGCTGATTATTTACACTGAGTATCTGTTATTTCATTTGATCCTCACATCAACTCTGTGAAATAGGTAGTAAAGGCATCAACAACTCCACTTTCTGGATGAGAAAAATGCAACACAGAGAGGGATGAAGTGATTGGCTGAAGGCTGCCCAGCTAGTAAATAGCTATTCCTAGAATATAACCTAAACCACCTGACTTCCAGTGCAACTCTTCCCCACTAAACAAAATATTTCTGTATTTAAGGGGGGAAACACGCCAAATAAAAGTAACAGGGATGTGATAACAAGAGCAATAGGTTTGGAGGACATGGGGGAAGTGGGGAACCATTTCCACTCCTGCCTCTGATACCTACTACTTGAGAGCAAGTCACTTTTACTGCTCTGGGTCTTAGTTTCCTCATTTATGAAAATGGACTCTAATATCCTTTTCAGTTCTAAATCTATGATCCTGATGGTAATTGAAAAATAGTAATAATAACAATATCTGTTGATACACTCGACTGTAATACGTACTTGGCACAAAGTAGGCACTTTATAAATGCTTGGGCAGCTAGGTGGTACAGCGGATAGAGTGCCAAACCTGAAGTCAGGAAGACTCCTCTTCCAGAGTTCAAATCCGGCCTCAGACACTAACTAGCTGTGCGTCTCTGGGCAAGTCACTTAACCCTGTTTGCTCAGTTTCTTCAACTGAAAAATGAGCTGAAGAAGAAAAAAAGGCAAACTGCTGCAGCATCTTGTCAAAAAAAACCCCAAATGGGGTTGTGAAGAATCAGACACAACTGAAAAATGACTGAGCAGCAGCAACAACAAATACAAATGCTTATTCTCTTCCCCTCCTTTCCCTTTCCTCTGTTCCCTAAAGTGTCTCATTTGCTTCTGGAAACACACCCAGTAGAAAAATCCACATCAAAAACCTAGTATTCCAAAGTTGAGACTAGTTTTATGAAGTTGGCCAGAGAATAAAAGACTCATTTTTCCAAAGTAAACTAGGTTGTCACCAATATATATATATACATACATACATATACACATATAACACACATGTATGTTTATAGACATATATACATATATAATACATAATTCTGTACAAAAAATCACTTTACCCATTCATAAGTAGCTTATATAAACAAAATAGCAATGCTAGTGCTCAGTAGGCTTTTATGGAGAAAAAAGGGAGTAAAAATGTATAATTTAACAGCTGATTTAAATAGATACCTTGTGGCATCCCACTATTTTTCAGCTGTGGTTCAAGTACTTGAATTGTGTCATCTTCAAGATAGAAGTAGATCTTACAATGTCTTATCCTATATAATTCTTGATTTTTCTCTGGCACTTCATCTTCAAAATAGGCATCAAAAGATAGGACCTGTGGAATAAATGTAAATAAAAAAGTTCAGTAAATGTATATATTTACTTTTGAGATGTGTCTTAAAATTAGGTACCTTTTAGTGATATCACCTAGTATTGTGAATGTATAGTCAAAATAACATTATGCAAATATCATTTACTTTCAGAGTCAACTGGTAAGAAAAAGGAAAAACCATTAGTGCAGTGAGATAGTCATTCAAATATACCATAAAACTAACAAGATACAGCTCACAGCAGATTGCCACAGGCAGGTAGTTTACAGGTAACATGCTTCTTCCTGGAGGTTAAGAAAGCCTTCGGCTTACGCACATTACTGCCATCACCTCCCACAAAGAATGACAACAATAACTGCAAAATATCTTGGTTCCAGGTAAACATTCATCTAGCCTGACAGTCCACAGTCCCATTTCCCAAGACATTTTAAAAAGGCAGAACTACATTCTTCTTCTAACTAAACTACAGCTTTTTCAAGGTAAAGACTGTGTCTCACATTCCTCCTGAATCCCTATAGTACTGTTTGGAGGGAAAAGACATCACTAGACATCAAAAAACATCTATTGGTGGAATGGCTCTCTGACTGAAGAGAAAGAAGACAGGAAGAGAGAAAGGAAACAAGAATGTGAAGGGGGAATGCCTTGGAGGAAGGTGAACAACCGCTGTTCTGATCTCCACTAAGAAATACAGGTTAGTTATTCTCACATAATCTCCCAAAAAAGTTTTACTACATTCTTCCCCAAAAACCTGATGATGATGAAGATGATGATGGCTAACATTTAAATAGTACCTACTATGTTCCAGGCATCGTGCAAAACACTTCACAAGTATTAACTCATTTGATTCTCACAACAACCCTGGGAGGGAGATGCTATTATTATCTCCATTTTACAGTTGAGAAAACTGAGGAAATGGGGTTCCAGTGACTTGCCCAGGGTCACACAGCTAGTATGTGTCTGAGGCCAAATTTGAACTCAGGTCTTCCTGACTCCATGCTTGGTGCTCTATCCACCTGTTGTTTTCAGTTGTATCTAACTCTTCGCGAGCCCATTTGGTGTTTTCTTGGCAAAGATAATGGAGTAGTTTGCTATTTCCTTCTCCGGCTCATTTTACAGACGAGGAACTGAGGCAAACAAGGTTAAGTGACGTTAAGCCCAGGGTCACGCAGATAATAAGTATCTGCGGCTGGATTTGAACTTAGGTCCTCTTGACTTCCGGGCAAGCACTCTATCCAGTGGGCCACTCAGCTGTTCCCTAATATTATATCCTAAAGAAATATTCAAAGGACTGGATGTCTCACAGACATCTCAAACTCACTATGTCTAAAACAGCACTCAATAGCTTTCCTTCAACATCCATTCCTCTTCTGAACTTTTCCATTTCTGTTGAGGGTCATTACTTTCATCTCACATATCGTATGCCAAATATTGTCATGCCAGCCTCAACAATGTCTCTGGTATCTGTCTCCTTCTTTCCATTCTCACAGGCACCGCCCTATTCAGGCCCTCATTATTCCTCATCTGTACTATTTCAATGACCTACTCATTGGCCCCCTGCCTCAAGTCTTTCCCCACTCCAAATATTCTCCATATAGCTGCTAAAGCACAGGTCTGACCATGTCACTCACCTACTCATTAATTTCATTAGTTACCTGTTGCTTCAATGATGAAGTATAAATTTTGTTTCGTATTTAAAACTGTTTAGAGGCTTCTGAATTTCACAGCCAAGACTAAAAAGTTATTCCAGTCCCCACTAAGTCTCCAAAAAAAAAAAAAACCATCTCAAAAAGAAAGAATTATATACTATAGGTAAATCAATTATAGGTTTCTCTACACAAAACTGACTCATGTTCTGGGATTCACTCAACAAGAACTAATACAAGAAAACTGCCTAGAACTTCGCCAAAATATAGAAAACAAAGCACTAATTAAAAGAATCCATAGATCACCTCCAGGAAGGAAAAAAAAAGCCTTATGCTTCAAACTCCAATACATAGTGGTTAGAAATCATAATTTCAATGACAAGCAACAAGTTCTTCAAGAAACCTTTAAATATGAAGGACAAGAAATTCAGGTACAAAAGAATACTCTGCACCTACCACAAACTGAGGAGGAAATGGAATAATATCTTCGGAAAAGCAAAGGAGCTCAAGACACAGCCCTGAAAACTTGAGCCTAACTATTAAGAAAAAAAATACGGACATTCAATAAAAGAGAGGTATCTGAAGGATTCTGACAAACAAAAACTAGACATGAGCAGATTATTTGCAACACCTCAAACAGGGAAACACAAGATGGATAAATGATCACAACCACCAAGGAAAGCACAAGTAATAGAATAAACTGCTCTCTAGAAAATACCAAAAAAAAAACCAAAAAAAAAACTAGAAATAGAGAAACACCAATGGATTTTTTTTCAAATAAGAAACAACAATAATAGGGACCACAAAAGATTTCTTACTAAAAATACATAACAAAATAAAGATGAAGGAATTTAAAGAAAGAAATAAAGGAGGAGGAGCTGTCCTAAAACACCATGGACTATACCTCTGAGTCCCCACCCCCACACAAGCATAGGAAAAACACTGTATTTTATGGAAATAAACTGTAGTATGGGAGGGCATATAAAAGGGGAAAAAGGAGATAGGAGATAGAGAAGATACTCTAATCAAGTCTTTGGGAAACAATTATGAGAAAATAATTCCTGTGGTATCTCAGCAAACAAGGATACAAAAAGAGAATGAATAATGTGGCAAATGAAGGGACTGAAATAAGAGGAGAGAAAGGAGAATATGTCTATTTGATTGTAGGAAGGTAGGCAGGAACCTTACAATGGATCCAATCTGCAGGGATTCAGTGAACAAGGAGACCACTTCTGAGAAACTCTTGTGCTTCCCTGGACAACATCCTACCTCAGGAATAATGAAATCAGGGATAACGGGGGCAACTGGCATCCAGAAGGGTGAGTGAGTATCAGGGGTGTGCTGGAGTCAGCTCTAACTGGCTTGCAAAAGCCAATTGTTAAATCTTTAGTACTGGGGCAACTAGGTGGCACAGTGGATAGAGCACCAGCCCTGGAGTTAGGAGGACCTGAGTTCAAATCCAATTTCAAACCAGACCAAAAAAAAAGTATCAGCATTTAAAAGTAGAAACATCTCTATAAATCAATGCCTAATTTATTGTTTTATTGATTGTCTAGACTTAAGAAAGTGTTATAATACAGATTAAATTAAAAAGCATGTATATACATTTTTCCACCCTGAAAAGCCTCTGTATTGTTCTACAAACATTGCTACAGCTCAGCAGGAGTGCAATAAAGACTCAGGAAATAAAGTCATCACTAGACTGAAAGCCTGGTGACTATCAACTAATAATAATTATGATGGTGATGATACTAATAACAACTGACATTTATATAGTGTTTTAAAATTTGCAAATTGCTTTATATTCACTACCTCATTTGAGCCTCACAACATCCCTGGATGACTGGAACCAGACAGGACATTGCTCGGCAAACAAGAAAGAAAATGATCATAGGAAGGTCAGGGAGTTGAAGTCGACCAAACAAATTGGGACACAGGTGAATTTCTACCATTGAACAATGCTTCCATCCTCATCACCTCCCTCAGTAATTGATACCTCTAAGAATAACGTACAACAGGAAAAAGGGGGGAAAGGAAGTAAGATTCATAAGAGAATAGCATAGAAATTTTTCAGAAGAAGAAACTGAAAATCAGTATTTGAGAAGTTTTAATCCCATGAGGAACACAAAGAGACTAAAGAAAGAATGAATCAAAGAAGAGATAGAAAGGGAAGAGAGTTAATTTAGAGATAATTAATACAATAAGGTAAAGATTTTTTTTTTTAGAAAAAAAAAGACGCAGAAAATGAAACAAAAAGCCCTACCAAAACAACCCAGTTCCAATCTACTTTTTCTGACATTATTAGATATTCCTCCCCTTCATGTACATTATAGTTCAGCCATACGAGTCCTTTCACTGTTCCTCATACACAGTACCCCAGCTCCTATCTTTGTGACATCTATTGACTGTACCCCAATGCCTGGAATTCCTTCCCTTCTCAACTTTGATTCTTAGGATCTCTAGTTTCCTTAAAGGCTCAGCTTTTAAAGGCACTACCGTGTACATGAAATCTTTGCTTACTCCACCTAGCTGCTAATGCCTTATTCTTCACCCCTCTCATTCTCTTATATCTATTTTGCATATACTTGCTTATTTGTGTGTAGGTATGTGTCTACGTCTGTGGACTCAAGTATGTTGTCTCTCTGGCTACACTGTAAGTTCCTCCAGGGGAAAGACTGTCACTTTTATAAATGAATGAATAAATAAGCATTTATTAAGCACTTATGACGTGCCAGGCACTATGCTAAGTGTTGAGGGATACAAATTCAAGCAAGCAAGACAGTCCCTGCCCTCAGGTAGCATACATCCTAAAAGGAAAAAAGGAATGTTTCGGACAAAGAAGTAATGGTGATGAAATTCATAGTGCTGATTACTGTTTTCAGAATTAATGTTAGAAAGCTACGGGTTGGATAGAGAGAAGCAAGAGGCAAGACCTATAAAGGCAATAACACACAACTTGATTAGAAAAAGGAACTCAAGCCCAGTACTTCAGAAGCATTAAACTAATGAAAAACATAGATAAATGAAGAATAGGAGAATATACCATGAATCAGAATAAAAATTCGGAATAAACATAAACGGAAGAAAATCAATGAAGTGAACAAAGCAAATAAAAACTCAGAAAATGGCATAGAAAAAAACAAATTTAAGAAATTGTAGGTAAAGAGAGGAGGGGAGATTTTTAACTAACCATTTAACTGAGAGTAGGAAAAGAGGACAAAATAGACAACCAAATAGATAAAGGAAAATAAATCAAGAATTTAGGTTTAACAAGTGAGAGGGGAATAGAAGGGAATAGAGTCTCTGGGAACAGGATTGCATCAAAGGAGTTTAAACAAAACTAATGTGAAGGATCAAAGTAC